ATGACCTCATTATATTGGCGCGTGAATCGCGCGCCCCCCGCGGAAACCTGGTTACCTTCTGAGGACTGCTTTGGCCTCCTGTGAACGCACGAACGTCTTCAGCTATTTGAGAATCCGTGAGAAGGTATCTGGTATCCGGCGTAATATTAGGAGTTGCCGCCTTTGGTGTTGCATTGAAATACGTCGGTGGTTCGATTAACACCCCACCACGGCTAAAAAACAATGAGCGTTAGTGGGATTGCAGCCACGAAATCTAAAAGTCTGGGGTTACAGTCGAGTTCCGTATGCACTACTTACTTTGCAACTCCCACTCTTATCGCAATGTACCAGGAGTGAGCACCTCATGAATATACATATAGGAATTCAGAGGAATGGATTCTGTTCGGGACTAGGAACAGACAACGAATAGTTAGAAATGAAACAGGAATTCACCCTCGCAGCGTCTTTTTCGTACTATCTATGACGTTAATTGCTCCTGTTCGTGACACATCCATGTTCGTGTACTCCCATTCTATCCGCTTCTCCATTTCATCTATGTCCTAAACTTGTTCAAATTGGTTCAAATTTTTTGTTCAAACGATTGTTCAAATTTTGATTTAATGCAAAAAGGATTGTAGTAGGCGACTCACGGCTAGCATCGATTGAACTAATTCCTTCTCCTTCTTCTCGAGCTCATCTTGGGTCTGTTGTTTCCGTCGCTTATACTCGTAGTCTATTCTTTCGAGAGCTAGCTGTAATGGTGAACTAGCACTTGAGAATTGAAGGTTAGTAATAATTTGCGCTGATAGAGGAGCTATATAGGGCTTTCCCACACCTCGTAAGCTATCTGCTCGCGTTCTTTCTGTTCTTCATAGATTTCTTCAATCTGCTTGAGCCTTTCCACATATTTCGGATGTGTCCCCTCATCTACTTGATGAAGTTCGTCGTACAGTCGTTTTAGCTTCCCAGACGTCATCGTAGCATTCCATATATATTAGTCTGAAAATTGAAAGTGTGGAAAGAAGCCGATTTCATTCCGTGATTTAGTAATCACGCACTGAGAGAAAGAGAGAAATAAGTAACATTTATAAATAAAAATCCGTCAAGGCGCATTGAAAAAATTACGATATGGAAATGATGTGGAGAAAACTATCGAATTGTAATTTGTGGGTCAGGAATAATTGCGGATCGAATAGAGGAATTAGAGTCTGTACAAAGCTCTGTTTTAAATGTCAGTTCGAATTCAAAGAGGTGTAGGTGGGTCATGCTGAATATACAATCCTAATAATGCCATCAGTGACAGAAGGGCAACTATTCCTCAAGATTAGGAAGCCATGAAAATAGAAGCACGGAGCTTCCCAGTAGGACAGATTCATTTATTCGGTAATACTCATATGAAAAAATTAAATGGGCGTTGTATTGTGCTTTTCTCATCATTCCTCACCTGCATAGTAAGTGGATAGAAACATGAAAATTAGGCCATATGGTAGAACTACAGAAGAATTTTCAGAGTGAGCTTTCAAATTTCCAATTTAGCTTTAAGTTGGAACCCTAGAGGAACCCAGTTTCCAACTGACAAGATTGAAAGAAAAAGCAGCTGCCACTCGTGCAAATACCAAGACCATTCCGGAGACACTTCAAAGCTATTGAGTAGAATAATATGCTACATTAGAAAAAACGAAAAAGTTCGAATATTGGCGGCGGCAATTTGCCAACAGCTCCGCCCCCGGTAGTTTGGTGTGTCGTAGTAAATTTAATTTTTTTATACAAATTTTTGTAAACTACAAGTCCCGTACTATTAGTAAAGCGAACTATCATGAAAAATTCTTCTTCCGTTCTTTGAGCCTGACGGGCATATATACAGAGAACGGACCAAATTGTTAATTGCATTTAACAATGTTCACAGGATAAAAAGAAATTTGGCTTGGTGCCAATCGCCAAGTGATAACTCGTCCAACTGTAAGCAGACAACGGAAAATGATCGTCTCACGGTCGCTCGAGGTTTTTTTTTGAAGTTTTATGTTTCTCGATAACATTTATTTGCATTCATTTTCATGTCGTTATTGGGAGGATATTGATCATTCGATACAGTGTATTTGTTAGCTGAGAAGAAAAAAATGCCAGGAATTTTGCCTGGGAAACTGATCTAAGTGGTTTGACCTTATAATCTGTCCCGATTTCGAACATTTGCGAGCTCTAAGAATAGAAAGATGATTTAACGAGAGCATGAATGAAGCAGAAAAAACAAAGCAAATTGAGAAATAAGAAGTTGCTGTTAGAGATTGCTTCTAAGATAGGTCCAAAATGATATTACCGTGTATTTTTACAACTAATTCAACTCTTGTATTTTCGCTACTTTCAAAAACATCGAAAAATGAGATCTGAAGACATCAGCTTGTTGTTTCAATCCGACGTAAATAACATTTTCCACTACACATACTCCTTTTTACTGGATTCCTTTTTTATTTCAAATCAAGTGGTGGTGTTACGAAAGATCCTTTACAAACTGCATTGCATGACTATGTCAAGTGAACTGGAAAAGTTTAAGTTTATCGCGAAATATAAAGATTTTCCAATAACTGAATAACATGAAATACCTTTGAATTTCTAACTATCTGAATTGAATAGAAATGAAAATTACAGAAGGTGAATGGGCACAGTTCCAAGTGGGACTGTTGGGAAAAGGAACGGAACGTCGATCTGTTGGCACTTTGCCATGCATGCTTTGGCTATGCACTTTCCTTCCGACACGTGTACTTCCCTACGTCCAGATCTCGTCCTTATCATTTTCATTCTTACGATTTTCTCATCATTTATTTTCCTTCACAAGAACCTTCCCATTATACTTTCTAACCCGACCCAGGAACATGAACGGCAAATTTGTCAACCATAGATTTGCCCCGAACTACACCCTTTCATTTTTTTCCTAATTCGTCATTTCAGTAATAAATTACTGTTTTGATTGCCGAAGATTTTTGGGCAAATCTGAAGCTTCGATTTGGATCCTCTGCGGATTCCTTGAAAGGTTTACAAGATAGCGAATCAGAAGCGCTCCTTTTTTTTCTGGTATCACGACCAGCTTCGTAACTCTCCCTTCCTATTTCGTTGAAATGGCAACCAAATTTATGGTCTTCCCATTCTAATTCCTTAGACTTACGAACAATTTCGTATTCTGAACACCAATACGTAAAGCTTGCAACCGATTTCGCAAACATGGGGGTAAATGATTTGGCATAACCCCTCGGCGCAGAGTGGACCATTCGCGGACTCCTTTGGCACAGCAGATGTGAGTGTTTCTCGCGCGAATCCTTGGCGCTATCTATAGCCTAGTCTCCTGATGGTTGCGCCGCGCTCGTTGAAGATGCTTGTCCATTTGGAATATGCCGTAAGTGCCCTGTTGACTGTAGACTCACTGGTAGACATATCTATTTTGACGTAACCAAGCGCCTGTCTTTGAGCTTCCGAAGAGTGATGCAGCAATAGTTATCTACCCAACTTGTGATGATCTGTTTTCAGCCGTATACCTCTTCCTTGCTAAATTACCCTATAATTACCGTACCGAACCGAACCCGTATTTGGCAGGTACTTCTACTCCACTGTTGAAACCCAAACTTGTATCAAAGATTTAACTTTAGAGCCCTTTCTAAGCGGTCCTGTGCACACCTCGTTCCTTTTTTTGACAGCCTTGAACAAAAAGGTTGAAAATGAAACTTAATCCCGTCGGCGGACCGCGTTCCATGAGATCTCCTAATATGCGATTCGCACACAAGTGAAGAATCCTTAAACCGATTTCTATGGAAGCTTTCAGAAAATCCTCGGAGAAATCCGGGCTGTTGAGGAATTTTGGGCAGATACATCGGCAGATATAGTGTTACAGTTCAATGCAGGGAGATGAATCTGAAACCTCATCGCGCATTTATGAATTCTGCGATTTTCAGAAAGTGAGTAGAAGGAAAGAAAGTGATTGCAAAATCAACGAAATTGATTGCAGCGTTTTTGAACCCACTTGAAAACCCTGTGCGTTGTCTCATTAGTACTTGAGGGGGGGGGGGGGGG